AAGAAAGCTTAATTTTTGAGGTGGTGCTTCCCATGAGAATCTAGTGGTAGCCACAAACCCCAGTACCATGACAACACACCAAATCTAGCCCTGGCAACGAGAAGCCAGATGAGAGCATCAGCCCTTTGATTTTTCTAGGTAAAAGCCTGGTTTGAACTGGGAATGACAGACTGACAGTGAGAGACCTGAACCCCTGAGGTCTTATCATGGCTGACAGATTTCACAAGGCTCTCGCTAGGTCACTGCAGTTTTGCTCCGAGTCTCAGATTTACACCCTGAAAACTGATCACGTGCACGCATGTGCGTTTTAGTGATGATGGGGCTTATATTATGCATCACTTCCTGACCTGATTTTACATACAGCCTGCTGTGTTTTACCAGTCAAAAATTGGCACCTGATGCTCACAGCGCAAAGGGAACCGATCAGGACTGCTGGGGCACTGGCATGGGCAGGAACATCAGTGCTCCGAGGGACACCCCGCTGCCATTTCAGGAGAGTGATGGGTCCAAAGACAGCGTGCAAGCAATCTACACCAAATCACCTAGAATAACTCATCTGCTACTGGCCCTGGGTGTGCGTGGCCACGACCCCCAAGAGCAGCCCCTCCGCACCCTGCCTGCGTCACACCCGCCCAGCGCCGCTCACCTTGTGACCTGCTTGTGGAAGTCTGTGAGTTGTTTGTGTGTCACTTGGAGGGCTCCCCCCGAGGTTTCCTTTGGTAAACCCTTCAGTGAGTTCTCTAGCCAGCGACAAAAGGTCTGAATAAAGAGAAGGGGAAGAGCAAGGGAAGAGTTAACATTGCATCAAGGGACCGTGGATCAGGTTCTAGCCTTGAGGCCTGCCACTCAAGGTGGCCAGCTCCGTCTGCTGACGGAGGCCTCTGTTTAAGCCTCCCCTTTATCTGCAAACACACAGAGGCCTCTGCTTAAGCTTCCCCTTTATCTGCAAGCACTATGCACAGCCAGAGTGATTCATTCCTAGCAGTTCCTCAGCCCGCCCGAGCCTGGGGCCTCTCAGCCCAGGAGGGACAAACCCCATTTAGGTTGGGCCAGAACTGCATTCCTTGTACTAGCTGCAGCATGGCAATGGTGCCATCATCATGCTGTGATAACCAGCCCCCTCCTGCTTTCCCCTTCACTTGAGAAAATTGGAAGCAAATCTGAAGATAGGGAGACGGAAGGGTTGGCCAAGAGCTATCCTGGAACTCAGAGCATCATGTCAGAGGAACTGGAGGAACGGTGTAGGGCAGGGGTGCTCAACTGCTCTCCTGATGGGTCCAGAAATTTGTGGCTGGGGGAGTGGTGGCACTGCTCTCTGCTTCCAGATCTCCTGACCCAAGAGTGCTGGGTCCTGAACACCGGACATGACAGCATGCATCGCTGGATGGAGGTGGCACTGGGACCCAGGGCCCAATCCCAGCTCACAGGACAGGTGAGAGAGGACAGTGCCTTAACCTCACCCCCACCCCCAACCTCAGCAAGCAGGAAGCAGTACCAGCCTCCTGAGACCCAATGCCAGCATGCAGGGGGCAGGAGGTGATTGTCAGGCCCCCAGGGCCCAATCCTGGCACACAGGAGAGCAGGAAAGGGCAATGCTAGACCCCCAAGACTCAATGCTGACATGTGGGGGGTGGTTAGAGCCTCCTGGGACCCAATCTCAGCATGGAGGACTGGGAGGTGGTGATGCCAAGCCCCAATCTGGCCCCTAGACCCACAGCTGGCTTACAGGGTCAAAAGGTTGAGCACCACTGGAGTAGGGCACTACCTGTATGTGCTGTAAGTGGGGAGGAATCGTTCAAATTTAGGCTGGTCACATTGGCACTTGGGGTTCTGACAGCAGTGAAGTCCTATCAGCCCAACCATCCAAACTCCCAGAGAGGGTTTCATCACACCCCTTGGAGGACCTCCCTGCTACCACCCGGCTGCCCAGCATCTTCCCTTGGCAGCCAGGCTCTAGGCATCTGGGAGGAAACTCGGCCAGCCTTACCGGCCTGTCGATCTGCATGATCTCCCAGAGCACCTCGGCGACATCCGGCAAGGTGTAGGGTGGCAGGCAGAAGCAGCACGTGTGCAGCAGCTGGCTCACGAGCTGCTGGCCGAGCTGGTTCATCACCTGCCCGATCAGCTCCTTCCGCAGTTCAAAGTCCTCCTCGTGCTGCAGGGCGTGGGAGAGAAGCATGTGAGCCACGCTGGGAATGGCAGCCGGGAGGGCCTGGGGAGAGCTCCCGCTCTCAGGGCCCTGCCACACATTCAAAATAAAGCTGGATAGAAACCAGCTATAAAGCTTTCACACATTTTTAAGCTCTATCTTTGTAGCTGGTTGGCTCTTTTTATAGCAAGATAGACATTTTTATGGTCTGCTAATTACTTTGCATGTGTGGCCACTCTAAATTTATTTATTGTGTGATTAACCAGTTAATATACGTTGTGTGTACCAGGGGCCTCACATTCCTCCATCCCATCCAACCTGCTCGTGGCCACACATATAGGACAGGAGGTGGAAAGACAGTGTTGTGGGTTCAAGGTGCCAAATGCTTCAGGCATGGATAAACAGCCTCACATACAAGCAACGTCCATTGCCTTTCGTTGTATGTCACTTTAGCGGGAGCCAGGATCCAGACCCAAAGGACAGGAGGACAGGTCACAGCAGCTGCTGCTCACCCCTTCCCTCCCTGCAGCACCGTTGAAACAGCAGTGGTAAGGAAGGACCTGCAGAAGGTGGTCTAGTTCAGGGATGTCAAAAATATGGCCCAGGGGCCAGACCCAGTCCACTGAGCCCCCTTATCCAGCCCCTGGTGGTGCTCCTGGGTTTCACAGTTGCCCCATGCAAGGTGCTGGACAGGCCCCACATGAAGGGCCCAGGATGCAGGCTGCACATGGTGCCCATTCCAGCAGGTCTGAGACTTTGTCATGTGTGATGCCTGCTGTAGCTAGTCTGGGATGCGAGTTGCAAACAGCACAGGTTTCAGACCAGTCAGACTGGGCACTGGATCTGGCACATGGGGAGACAGGGAAAAGGAAGAGGATGGCTGGATTGCAGGTCCCATGCATGCCTGATCCAGTGCCAACCCCAGGCTGGCTGGAGTGGGCACAGCATTCAGTTTGCATCCTGGACAGGCTGCCACATGTGCCGGATCCAGCATGCAGGGGCCTGATACAGCCAGCAGGGCTGGCCCCATGCCCTTTATCTGGCCTGCCCCACTCATCCAGCTCGTGGGGCCAGGTGAATGTGACACTCCTGGTCTAGTTAACACAGTGACGACATGGCAGGGCAGGTTGCAGCAGCCCTGCAGGCGATGGACGTCCGAATCCCACCTGGCTTTGCACGGTTGGGTCAGACAGCTGCAATTCCCAGAGCCATATAGGAAATGCAATGAATGCACAATACCAGAATCAGGGGTGGACCCAGAGGGGTGCACTTCACCACCTTTTGATTCCTCCTCCACCCAAACTTTAACACCAACAGCCAGGCAGTGGCAGCAGCATTTCTAGTCCAGTAGCAGTGAGGGAGTCAACTGACTTCATGGCTCATTATCATCTACCAGATCCTTTCTGCATTAAACTTCATTCCACAGATGTTAACGACCCTCTCCTTTTTAAATGGTCTTGCCATTCCACCAACCAAGCCATCCTTTATTCTGCAATTCTGCTGTCTGTGAGCTGCTCCTGGTAACAAACCCCTTATTTCACAGGCCTGCAAATTGTTTAACTCACTCCAATGAAATTATATTTGTTTTTGCTTCAATCTTAAGATGAATTGTACAGCGCTGGCCCCTAGTGTGTTAGTAAAGCTTCTAGTTACCTTCAACTGGAGAAAAATTGGTGTTGTGTTCTATGTGATGATGCACCGCACCATCTGCACCCCACTTTTCAAAATCCTAGCTCTGCCCATGACCAGAATATCCAGTGGGGTGGAGGCTTAGAATTCAACCCAGTTCAGAAGGGCATTAGCTCAGTTCCAGGAGAAAACACCCCTCAGGGGTATCAAACAGAAGTCAGTACTGGAGTAGCGTCTAAATCAGAAATTCCTGAACCTCTCAATGCTGGAGGCTCCCGTGGGAGAGAAGCAGGGGGTGGAAGATTCTGGCCAGGTCCTGCTTACCCTCCCCTTCAATATCCACTTTCTGCCACTGTGCGAGACAGGGGAATAGGGTACACCAGGGTGCTCAATCCCCGACCTTTAAGCCAAATCCAGCCCATGACCTGGTGTCATCTGGCCCACAGGGCTCCCCAAGGTCTGGAAATTTGGTGGTGAGATATTGGTGACACTGCTCCCCCACCGCTAAATTTCTGGACCCATGGAGAGCCCTGGGTTCTGCACCCTGGATCACTGCCCACTCAATCCCAGCATGCAGAGCCAGGCAGGGGCAGCACTAGGCCCCAAGGCCTAATCCTGGCACACGGGAGCCTGGGAGGAAGTAGTGCCAAGTGTCCTCACAGTCTCGGCATTTTGGACTGCAAAGAAGTGATGCCAGGCCCCCTGGGGATCAACCCAGGCATGTTTGGGGGGGGGGGGGGGGGGGGGGGGGGGC